CATAAAATAAATAACGTTTTAATAAATACTAGTAAAATACACATAATTATTTTAAAATAATCTTAAACACACAAACAACTGTAGTCACAGAATGTTAAACTTGTATCACGCCAGTGATTGATAAGTTTTCATCTCTCCGTATCAATTAAATAGAACCGTTGTTGTTACCGTGCGAGATAGATCTGTTCGTACCGCAGGGGTGATGCTGGCAAATAAATTAAAATGATGCAAACGCTATGATTTGTGCGGCGTAGCAATTTAATATCCTCCATACATCTTACTGTGGGAGAGGGCAATTTTTCATACCACCCCAACGAGCGGGCAATGTAACACCAGTCAAACTAACTCGTTTTTATCGTTTTCATAAAACTTTCTCGAGATTTACATATTGAGTTATGATACTAACTTTCATAATAATGTTGAATGATATTGTTGCATCAAGGACTTACACCTAAGTTGTTTCTGATTGTTTAGTAATAATTGCTTAAATCAAATATTAAGTTTATCATTTATATCTATCGTTGCGAAGTCTCAAACTATAGTGCCATTTCTCAGTGGAGCAATCATCAATAAAACTTGGAGTTAGTGGCGAGTTGGTCAAGTTAGCAGTTTCTTAACGCCACAGTGACAAGTTTTCATTTAGTATTCTTAAAAACTTTCATTAGATAACGTTTATAAGATAAAGGAGATTATTTAAGACATGCCATAATAGAATACCCAATCATACACACACACACATACAATCATATACACACACACAAACACACACCTTATATAATATTATAAGTGTACAGCTTTACAACTATTCTTATATAAATGTCAAGATATAAATAAAGATGTTTTGCAGTCGAAGTAACAGCTTGTTTACTGTTATAATATAACAACTTCAACACACCAGACGTTTTATTTACAGAATTGAATAGAATTATAAATTTATATATCTATTTAGCAATAGAATTTTCTCTAACAAATTCCTGTTTGTCATCGAGTAACTTAAACAATTTGGGGGGAACAGCAATAAAATGAGAATAAATAACAAAAAGCGCATAACGTTTCGTTACATACGATTTGAGAGTGGGTACATTAGTTATTATAACACGGCAAAATATGTGTAATAAAACGTAATTTATGGGGCAAATAAAATATAACAGTGGTTAGGGCGGCAGATGGGGCGCGGCGTACTGATACGTCGATGTTTGGGATGGAACAAGAGGGAAAGACTAGTATTAAAATATATACAAATATATTGATATTATCCTAAAAAATCTTAATAAACATATATTATATTCCATGTATTATGCATAGTTATTAAGTATTAATATATGCGAATTGGTTTTTAATTGTTTAAGACGTAATATTTATTACGAAAACGCTTCAGTTTATGACTTAACATCATCTATATTGACAGAGTCCTCGGTTACGGATGCAGAAGAAAAATCGCACTCATTTGTTGTCGTCGTTTTGTTCTGTTGGCTTCGAGAGTCAGATAATGGCTGATGTATGAACAGATTACCAAAGACGTGTTGGCTGGTGTATGTTAGTGATAATTATGTTATACTATATCATACTGATCTACCAGCTAATAGATTACAAAGAAGTATAGACTAGATTCAAAAAGATTCTTTATTTCCTAATCACCAATTAATGATTATATTGAAAAATCTCTGGAGAATGTATACAAAGACAGCTGCAAAAATAATGAAATGTGCTACCGACTGAATGCACGGAGGCACATCAATATCGATACTTCAAAACCATTAGCGATGTCCGGTTGAGGAGTGAACAGGGAATGTATGGAGTGGATTCTAACTTAAGAAATATTACAATCACTTTCATAGTTTTATAGCTTAGAAGTGTTAAGCGTCTATTTTAATGAATGAATAGAAGAATATTAGATGATATGTATTTAGAAAAATCCTGTAAAATGTAAATAAATGTTTTATTTATTACATATCGACTCAATGTGTCTATTACAACGATACGTAATATAAGTTCAGATTGATCTTTATTATATGTATATTTTTTTAAATATTATTCCAAGTAGGGAGACTCCATAGTTTCGTCATCCTGTAGCGAACGTGTCACGCCATCGCACCAAATCTGAGCGTCGACAATATTTACGATCCTTGTTAATTACCTTTCATTTGTTATTCAAATACACATGCACATAGGCCACCTTTACATTTATTAGTTCAACGAAAACTGGTCCTTACGACTTTGTGATTAGAGCCCAAATGGCTTAAAAGTAAGCTTATGTAAGTACATCACGATTTTCAAAATCTGTATACTTAGAAGCATCCGCGTAATATTTGAAATTATATGACAACTACGTCTCTTTTATCTTTCTCTTTCTTAAATAAAAAAAAACTCCAAGTATTGCCGTAGAGCACTCCTAATTAGTTTTATGAATCTTCAAATTAATTAATGATCGTGTTAGGAGAATTCATATAAAAATATACATTTAAAAATATTCACGATGAAATGCATTTTTTGAATTTACCTGACAGCTGCATCATAATAACAATGACATACAAAATTTTTTTTGAGCATTATATATAGAAACCATAACCGAACTTTACAAAGACAAAACTCATCATTCCCTATGTTGTTGATTTTTTTCCATAGTCACTACATTCTTAAAATTCAAGAATAATTAATATAATAATTTATAGCCACAATAACTTTATAATCTACATTCGTAATGATGAAACACGCTCTATTTCAAATCCTAAGAGGACAATAAACATCAAAAACGAGCACTAATTGGATATAACAAATAATTTATCTACAACACTTGCTCGATACAGATCGTAATGATTCGTCCGTCCGCAGAACATTGTAAACATATCATCGGAGACAGGAACGTCTAACGCCATTTGTTAACGCTACACATCCAACGATTTATGACACAATAAAACTAATATATTCCTCTGGTTATGAGTTACTCTGCGCCAGTGTTGGATGATGTCAAATTATTTTCAGCTATTGCCAATTAAACAGAGTTATGAATGACAGACATTATATAAAAGTAACATTATAAATGAATAGATTAATGTACATTCATTGTTGTAGTGAAAACTATTATTAATATATGAATAATTTGATCCGATAAAATCTTAGACATGATTTGACTATTATTTCATGTATGGCACGTCCAAAAAGATTTACAGATTAAACTTAGTAGCTTCACCTGTGTTGCATTAAGTTGCAGTCAGTTCACAAAGTTGTCTCGGATAATACAAGCAGTTTATTGAATTACGAAATGTGCAGCTTATTTACTTGTTACAATATTTCTTTATATTATTATAATATAATATAAATAGTATAGTAATACACAGACTGCATCATAATCTTATTATAATATTCTGATATATAAAGTCGTTCATTACATAGCTGACGTCTTTCCCCCTTAATTACACTGAGTGCCCCGAATACGATCCGATTAACGCGTCTATTAAATAGCGATTCCTTATTACGAATAGAAGCAATGTTTTATATAACATCAAAACGATCAATCTTTTACGCGTCATTACCCTGTCGCTGCACTCACAATAATATCACTAAAAGGTTCATATAGACGGTCTTTTTAAGAGATGACACGTCAATGGTCATTTTATTATACATATTATTCACGGTGGGGGTTGGAATGGGGCAAGAATCGTATTCAGCAAAAAAAAAGATCTTATTCACACCACACGTGTTATAAACTTAAAATATTACTAAATAGATATTTTAATATATGCTGCATGTTCTGATTGCAAGCTAACAAGAGCAAGAAAGGATTTTACCTTTGAACATGCGAATGAAAAAATAAAATAACCAAACAATAAAATTTCAATCATAAACCTAATAAGTCTTTATTTCTTATACAAAAATGATTTCCCAAATTGTAAAAATATAACAAGATATAATCCAGACGAAGTAAAATAAAAAAGTTATAATTCATATAATTTATAAAAAGAAATACAGCGAAAGTTTAGTTTTATTTCCAACGCGTTTTATTTCCCAGCTTGTTGCAACCAAACCATTATCTAAAATTAGATTAACGTAGACGCAGCAAGGCCGGCGTGTGATTGTCGTCAGTAATGATTCTCTTACAATCACTAAGTACAATGCTTTACAAAAGCTGGTCGGGATAAAATCACAGAGACTCGTAATGCGCGCGTCTTACGACCAATTACAGTGAAGATAAAGCCTTTGAAAGGCAGCTGCTTAGTTACAGTGAAAGCTTGTAAAGTGAAATGGCGGAGGAGGACTGTATTTTACAAATTAACGGACTGGAAATCAACAAAAAGGATAAAACATATTTTGATATCTACTAAAATACGCAAAATGATTTCACTTTCAACAGGATTTATAAAGGGTATTGCAATATTTCAGATGTTTAATGTTCTATATACTATATAGTTTTATTGCTTAAACTTAAAGAGTCGGCTGGGGGAAACAAATAGTTTCACCAATCAAATCAATGTAAATAACTTCTAACTAGGGTCCAAAAGGAATACAATCCGGTGGAAGCCGGTAACATGCTGTCAACAGAGAAAATATATCCATAAATCAATTGTACAAGTCGTAGAAGCTAGTGAACCCAAAAAAGCGTATCAGTGTGCCATCGAGTGCACTCTACCGTCTCACGGGTCGTAACGTTACAATTTTACGACCACTTTTATTACCAGACGCTTTCGTGCGCGATTACCCCCGAGAGTGAGTTTCGCTGTTAGATGCCCTCTATCTTAGACTTACACCCTATTATCCATTCCGCTATATCGCTTCTTGAAACGTCCATTGCGTCTCTCGTTCGATACAGAATTTTGAGATCGCTTGTGAAGGTGACATGGATATAATATAAAATGAAAATTTTGAGCGAGGTGGGAGGGTTGTCAGCAATTACGCTTTAATGCGTGTTTTATTATCACGGTCTAATGTACTGGGGCATTAATTTATCACCTCCTCTGTTTACGAGTAAGGCTTGACAATTGAAATGACGGTTTATTCTGAATTCAAAGGCGGGTGATGTGCGACCACATTACCTTGATCTTCCGTGATACTCCCGGTGCTTTGCGTGTAAAACTTGAAGGGGAGGAAGTTAATAGGATAGGAGGTCTCAGTGGATTGGTCGTTTGGTAGAATCGTTTGGACAGACAAGCGATGGACGTATCAAAGGCCTTGCAACTGAAATGCAGTTGCAGTTTCGATTGTATCGAGACGTCTGCGGCGTGCTTGTGAAGTGATGGCTGATTGGAACATGTCGGCGGTTGTGATACACTGTTTGGTTTTGAGAACGCTTCTTCGTATCTAGCTGATTGTATGGCTAGATTTACGACAGACAGTACATAATTTGTGCTTTTGAATTCCTTTGTCAGTTGTGGAATGGATCTAAACATCGAACATCAAAGAACGGGTCTAGTTAATCTAATTAGGCTGATATTGAGTATAATAGTATTAAATATAAAATCAAGAATTTAAAGACCAGTTATTACAAATTGTTCTACCTTCAGTATCAATTTATTTCCATATTAGTAACTACAAACCATATCGTATAATGAATGCTGACGTGAGAGCATTCAACCGAGAAAACTCATTTTAAATATACAAAAACTAACGCATATTTACCTAGAATGGCCTGTTTCCATCAACAGTCGATACCGACCAGGCCATTATTCAATCAGAACAATTGTTCCGTCAACTTGGCATGTCAACCGTGTCATTACTCTGGACGAAATGATACAGCGGTGACACAGTAATGAATGTTTACACGAACACCCAGCAACACGCGACTATAAATGTCTATTATACAATACTTGATGTATATTATTACAACATTGTGTCAAAACAAAAACGATTTTCCAACTAATATATTTTCTTTTGTGCAAAAACTACACACAAATAATATTCAAATTAACCTATATTTTAGGCTTTACGTGTGCTTTTTGCACATTTTTTTTTGCATTCTATATTATAATATATGTAGTTACTCTATTTAAATTTCATCAACGTTTTCCCTTCAATAAATCCTTTTTATTAGTATAACTAAATTTGATATATATATTTTTTTATTGAATGCTATACAAAATAAGCCAGCAGACAACAAAACATTTTTCTTTGGAGTGCAGTATTTTTCTTCATTAAAGATTTTTTAATCATCAATTACTGCGCGGTATTTTTCATCTCGTCGTGACATATTTCAGCTGTGAGATCCTCGCGTGTTCGAACGCTATAAATCAAAAGTCTATTCTAATGGATAACCAGATATAAATCTATTTATGCTAAGTTTTCAATGTACATTTCGCATGTCAGTTGGCCATTCAAGAAATATAACAGTCGTAAATACGGACTCATCGTTTCTAAAACGATTTTATTGAAATTGTGTCATGCATGAAACCAACAATTGTATTTTAGTTAACAATCAATAATATATATTGTATTGCGTGTAATTATTTTACATCAATATCTAGAATTGGCAGTCATTAACTATGAAATCAGCTTTTAAAACAGGTTACAAGTAAACAACATATTACACCTTTTAGCTAATAGGAGTCATTTCCTTAATATAGTTGTTAGATATATTCTACAAATGTGTTTTAATATCACTTCATAATAATCTACGTTTTCTATATAACCACATACTTCTATAAAACTATTGTTCTGAATCAATGAGGGCGGTCGCAACTTAATATTAGATACTTTTACATTTACCAAACTAAAATATTGCAAAACATGAAACTATATATGTATATATAAATTTAAAACGTGCTACAAATCAAATTACACACTTTATCGATAATTTCTTAACGCTTTTAATGAAAACTGTATTGAAAACCAAAATGTTTATAATAATATGATAAATGAGATCTAAATCTTTTATGTAAATTAAATGGAAGCAGTCAGTGGAGATAAAAGGAGATATTTTGGTTCTTTTATGTTTATATAGCGATAGTTTATGAGCGACAGGTGTGGACTAGGGATGTGACGATCACGTTACATTATATCGATGATTCACTTGTAGTAATTGTTAATCACTAAGATATTCGAAGCATTTTAATTTAATACGACAAAGGCAAAGATATTGGGAATTAGAAAAATAAATAAAATCTTTTTTTAGAGTATAACAGATATCTAATTAAGTAAATGTTGTTGTAACAATCGTTTATATAATTTCATCGATATAATACTCCCGTCACTAACACACCATCTATTTTCACAAGCCATAACTCATATTTCACGCCCCTTATAATGCATCGAGTCAAAGGACGACGACGTATTTAAAGCTGTTACTCACCTCACTACGAATTTAGTTTTTGTTTCAACGAAAATTAATTAGCAAAATATAATATTAATGTATAAAAGTATATAATACGGATTGTCAGTAGTAAAATATGTTTAATATTAAAATGAAAGGGATACATTGAATTTAATTGAACGTACAAACCAAATCTTCCGCAATTTATGTTCAATGAACGTTCACAAAGCTTTGATCACGCTCAAGAGCTTCAAACGTTGAGCGCTGAACCGAACAACTGCTTCTAATTAATTACCGTCCATAATGATCCATTATAAATAAAAGGATTTATAGTTAGCTTCATACACACACAGAATAACATTGTTTGATACGTCTACCAGTAAATAAAATTATATTCCTACAACGTTATTGACAAAACAATTTAAAATAATATTTGTATAACAACACTATAAATATTATATAATATAATTCATATTTTAAATTGTAAAGGCTCGTTAATATAAAACCGGTTTCAATGTTCAAAAAGAAACGAGTTTTTTTTATCCGTGTCTTAAATGTGTTTACGAGATCTTTAATACTCGAATAAATTGAGTGGAGAATTTCATACAAGCGTCGTATTAACACTAATATATATTTTTTTAAATCGTTAGTAAACGATATGTCCCCGGGGGGCTCGAGGGGGGAGGAGGGGGTAGTCTGGTGGTCGGACCACCTTGTCAGCTGGCACGTAAATTAACATGAAAACGTCATACAAAGAGCCAACCCTTTGCCGCTCCATAATAAACAAATCTAACTGCTCCTCTCCCGCGGAGAGCTCACGGAGCCGCCTTTTCAAACGACCGGACATTATCGTAAATATTGTGGTATTTATTCAGATTTCTGGCACAAACAATTCAATTCACGCACCGGCTACTAATTGGGCATAAATCGTGGTAAAAATATTCAATAAGCTTCTCGCATCGATTAATATTTAAAGTGAATGCCTTCATTTGTATTTGTGCTAAGCGACGCGTTGATAATTCACTGCTTCGATATGTCGTTGATCGTTTTCAAAGGATTCTTGTTTTGTTTGTTCCCAATTATTCCGTAACGCTGTTTGCTTCTGAGCGCCGCCCGTCATCATATTAATATGTTGTTTTTGATTAATTTATATTCATGAAGTATCGGATTACCGACTATGGTCTATTTGTTCGACAATGAACACGTTTGTTTGATTATGTATTTCCGATCTAGTATTCCAATTTCTTATTTTAAAGTATATATTTTAAATGATTTATAAGAAGAAAGATTGACAATACTATCGAGTTGGTAAAGTACTTAGGAAGGATGGTAAGTATAGTTAAAGATGACGTACAAATATGTATCTGTTAACATATAAAAAATAAAACATTACCAAGAGAAGAAAAGTCCAAAACGGTAACATGAAAAATGTCGAGTTGAGCACTTTATAATAGAAATAATAACGAAACACCGCCAAGAATTATTGCCCACATTTCATGTTAAATTGTATGTAAATGCGGGGCCGCAACGACACGGCTCCCACAATAACATAATAATGGTGGATTTGTGACTCACGTCAGGTTGTTAGTATACTTAACCCTTTATCAGGACACGCACGCGGGACGTGAGATCATTACTAGGGTCGCTGAGACCCGACACAATGAACATTGTCGCTTTAGAATCCTTCAAGTTTTTGGGGGTTATCTTTTATAATCGTGAGCGAACAGATAAAGTGTGACGTGTAACGACTTATTGTCTGCTGACTGCTTAATAGATGCCGGTTTAACTGCTTTTCTTCACTCATTTTAGTGTTTTTAGAGAATTTTATTAGGTACTGAAGTTTAAAACGTGCTCACAGAGAGCATTATATCTTTATTAGAGGATTCATGTTTATGAATCATTTTCTGTCTTTTTCATTTCACAGAAGAAAAATTGGATATCGTATCCAATTTCAGGAGACCGTTATGGAAAGAAATTTGCCTAGCAATCATTCTACAATATTGGTCGTTTAAAATTATTTCTTAAACAACAAATACACATTCATATTTTAAAATGCATAACGACAAACGATCTGATAAAATCCTCACGAAGCATGATGATAACTCGTCACGACGATTCTATGAGCTATACATCAATTAAATTTATATTTAAATAAGTACATAGCGTAAAGTACATAGCACATGATAGTTAAATATTAATAAACAACAAGCGAACCTTAAATTGATACTATGGATACAAAACAGAGTTAGGTCCACCAAAGAGGTTTTAATGCATAAACGCCCACATCAGCGTCGGGAACAATCGCCCGGGGCACGGAAATTGCTTTTCGGTACTCACAGTGAATCCCCAAAAATTATCCCCCAAAAGCCCGAGGGCACACACGTATTTCATCGACTGCCAGCCGTATGAATAATTCAATTTTTGAACTGTTTATAAATTGCAAAATCTTTTGTGTCTAACTCACAGCTTTGTGACGCTTTCAAGTTACTGTGGATTTTATATTCTGAATTAAATTTGTCTTTACAAACAATATAACCGTAATATCCGCTTTATAAACGTTCATGTTTTACTTTCAGTTGACATCGTGCAGAGAAAATTTTAAAACATTTCTCTTCCTATCCATAATTTTGTTTATGATTAAATTAATTTTGTTTATGATTGTTTCCTACCAAATAACTCTAAATATGAGGAAGTTTAAAATAAACTTAATCATTCATAATAAAATGTACTCACATCAAAGACATTTTTCAAAACAGTGGAAGTAATTTCAGAGACATACTTTCCGCTCCGTGACTGCCGCGCCACCTCAAGGATTAAGTTTATCATTTGAAAACAGAGCGAACTTCGAACTTGGAACTTCTTTATAAACTCCTCAAAAGTAAATATTATTGTTGTCTCAGACTGAAATAATTTAAGACTTATTTTATACAGGTAAAGGTGAACAAACACTACGTTATATAAAGTATTATATGCTTTAAAATACCTGGAACAAAGAAAGAAAATTGTTTGTTAAAAAGTAATATTTAACTAACAATTTTCTTTTTTTTACAATATATTTGCTTGATGGCGGTAAATTCAAAATTTTCTATACATAATTTCTAGTCATTCTTAATGAGACAGCAACTGTTCAAGACCTTCTACTCCTGCTATACATAGTTCCTCATGGAAAAACTTTCCTTACTCTAAATTTGTTGTATTCTATTTGCATATAATATATTCTTAATACATTTAACAGCTCACAAATATAACGGCATTCAAATTAAGAATAATCAATCAAGCAACTTAAAAGAGTCATTCAACAATGCGTCTAATCGCTTCACGCGTCGTGAGTTTTCCTAAAAGGCGTTATTCTTAGTCAAATTAATTCAAAGATTCGTCGTCATTTAATTATATACCTTACGCTTTTGTGGTTAAGTTCAATGTTGGGTGTTAGGTTAGGTTGAATGTTTGTAAACTAAAAACTGGATCATTTCCTGACAATCGGCGGGTTGAGGAGATCCATCCATCTTTGTCATGCCATTACGTGGAAGCCGTTTATGTCAGTTGCAAATGATTAAAAGAAATTGATGTAGTTTAAAGTAATTTTATATTACTGTTTTCAGACGATTGTAAACAAGTTATTAATGCTTATAATTGACTTTATGGTTCATCGATTTACAATCAAATTATATAAGAGTTAAAGAATATTGAGAAAAAAGAACATTACAAAATAAGAATATAAGCTTGCTTCCTTTTGGTGATACGTACCCTACATATATGTGCATACATTCCGGTTTACCAATACATAGAAATTTCGCTTTTCATTTGTGTCGTCTTACAGAACAAGTCATTATAATATTAAAATGAGAAACAAACGGACCGTGAAATGACATGTTTCTCAAAACAAATTACGAGCATTGAACACCGGTGATGGATTATACGCATTATGCTTCTGTGAGCCAACAAGGGTCAATTACTGTGCATCTACCCCACAGAATAACATCTATTGTTCCATACATATACGCCAATATGGCATGTATTGTTAATATAACAAGAGCTACAAAAGCTTGATTATTTTTCACAGTTAGCTGGTGACGTCTTGGCAATTGGTCCTATACAATTGCCGGTTGACAGGTATTAATTATCCATATTTCGTATTTTCCGACTCGTTTATATTTTGGTTTAACCGTCTTAGTGGTATGTTATATAATTTCTTGTTCTATTGTGCTCCTTCCCTTCACCTCAAAGTAATCGATGGCTCAAAATGAAACAGTTCATGATGCAAATTTCTTTTTTACATCATTCCTTGCAATTGACTTTTTTTAACTGATAAAATATTTAGTAAGCTCGGTTAACCTTAAAGTCGAGTTGAATCCAAATCATATATTTTACCCAGATGTCAAGTATATGAAGTAGTTTCTCTTAATATTATCTTTGATTATAAAAACACCTTTCTATATAAAAAACTTTAAATCACTCGCGTAATAAAAAGGTCATTAGTTATATAGATTCATAAACATCACATGAAATACTGTTCTAACTAGAAAATACTTTTGAATATAAAATATACAAGTATTATATAGTTTGTATACATACAATGTAATAAGAGGGAAAATAGGTTTATCTTTTAATTTCACACCTTCATATGTTGTCGCATGAACCGCCGTTAACACAACACTTTTGTCTTCTCTCTCGCTATCTTATTACGGGCTGAGTCTGTATACTAATATAAACACCGGGATACGCCTTTCCTTTACTTAGAAATATTAAAGTGTATAATAATTTATGATAACATTAATGTTTGACTATGATAATCAAACGTTTTGAAAACCTTCCTTTCTAGGACGATGCTAAACTATAGTCGATTTCAAATAAGAAAATGGATATAAAGAGATGAGTTGTTACAAAAATTACATAATAATTTTACATTTTTACTTTATACATACAGACAGACTACCCGACATATAATTATATTATAACCATATAACCTAGCCCCGTCGTTACTTGCACGCGCCGAGTCATTTCCCGTTTCATTACAACTACTTACAGGACAATATCTTTCCCGTATGTCTAATTTGATAAAACGACTAACATATTGTTCAATAACATTCATACAAAAATACTCTTTTCATTATTTCTTAATTAAATGCAACAGGTTTTGGTTTGTAACTATCACAATCAATAAGGAGAGATTCTTACACTTAATTTTAAAGAAATATTTATTACAACTCTTTTAATTAAATATTCTCATCATTATCAGAGCCGACTGCTGAGCAAAGGCCTCTTCTCATATGGAGAAGGTTGGAGCATTAATCACCACGCTTGTTCAACACGGGTTGGTGATTTCAAACTTATACTTGTGAAATTATAAGTACATGTTTCCTCACGATGTTTTCCTTCACCATCTATCAGTGGTGTCTAAATACTCTAAGAATGTACATATAACTCGGAAAAATCTTGGAACTAACTCGGAAAAAAGGCGGGCCTTTAACATCTACGCCACCACGACCTCACTCTATATTTTGTAGCAAATAATTTTGAAGGAGCATTATTATCAAACGTCTATCAGTATAAATTCGTCATTAATGAGTTACATTATGAAACCCTAAAATGAGTATTGAAGTGAGAACAAAAATCACTTATTATAGCAAACAGGGAGTGCAGCCTCTACTGCGTTAATTCATCATGATTGATTATCTCTCCTCTAATGAGCTCGAGACCTATCTTGTCACAACTGTCCAAGTGATAAGCGAATGTAAACACCCTGTATATATATTTCTCCAGTTACAGCATAATATACGCAAAGCTATTAACAATCTCTATAAAAAGGATTATTAAAAAAAATCATCTAAATGGTATAAAATTGTG